AGCGGCTTTTCCAGAAGCCCCCCCTATAGCCCCTCCCCTACCAAAACCTTGCCACACAAACCCAATACACTGAGTTTAGTGAGAAATTAGGGGGAAAAAAAAAAACACTTTAAAAGAAAATACATTGATTTTGATATCTTGTATATCTTGTATTCTGTTCTTCATTAATTTGAATCCCTTCTCCTTTCATTTTCTCATAAATTCCTTTGAAATAAGAAAGCTTGACAGTCACATCATCACAGTGTATAGTGAAAAATAATGTTAAATTATATCCTAATAGTTTGGCCTAAAAAGAAAGGTGAGGGCATGGGTGGTGGTGGTGGGTCAATGGTTGGACTCGATGATCTTAGAGGTCTTTTCCAACCTCAATGATTCTATGATTCTATGATCATCATATCTCCTTCAATGTACTGCCCCTCTCATAAGTTTAACTAGAATGATCTTGCAGGTAGATCTTTCAGGGGTCACTTGCAGAGGCAACACTAGAAAAGGACTTGCAGATTCTCTGTCAAAGGCTTTGCCTACCAATTCGTATTTCTGAGGTTAAAATACAAAACACTGGCCTAAGTAAAGATTCTAGAAAGCATGACAGTTAAGAAATACAGTTCATTTATTTTTATTTCTCTGAAAGTATCGGGAAATCATTTTTTGTCAGGTAATGTCAGAAATGACATTCCATACAAAATTAGTTATAAAGCTTTCTCTGATGCATGTTGAACTTTTTCTTTTCTCAAAACTAGAGAAATAGAGACACTATAATAACTGACTGAGAAATTATAATAACTAACTAACTGCCAGCTAGTACATTTACTTGGGATGTCATTGTCAGTCCTATGTTCTGCTTGATTACAGGGAGAAAAGACAAAACAAAGCAAAAAAAAGTACAAGAAGTTATGTAAAAGAATGAAGTAAAACAATATCATAAAATCTTTGCTTGTGTCCCAGATTACTCTATCACTTACTATCTTCAAATGTTAGGAAGTGTGCTGTGTGATACATAAAATATGTCTTTTGAACAAAACAATGTAATAAACCCAATTAATTTCAAAATGACCAATCTCCCCCCTATTATTTCTTCCTTTTCTCTTTCCTCATTTAGGTGTTTTGAAGAGATTTGTAAACATGATGATAATGTGAAATAGGCATATAACGTAAAGCAAGAACATAGCTTTAGATTTATTCTTTTAATACAGTCAAAAATTTGTCTATATATAAAATATTTAATAATATGTACATATGTTTAATCCTTTTTAGTATGTGATGAAATGAATGTTCAACAATTGAAAAGGAAACAATTCAGAAACTCAGATAGATAATAGATTAAAATTAATTCAAATCATTTTCAGGAAGTGATTATATATGTGTGTCTCTACTCATACAATACATCAACCACTGCTGTTACTGACAGTAGGAGTCATATATGTTCACTGAGAAAAAAACATAGAATGTTTTGAGAGAGTATTGCAAACTTTTTTTTTTTCTTACAAGATAAGGAATTTGAAAGATATCTGAGAATGGAGGAGGAAAGTGGGCTAAAATTTGAGTTTAGGTTAAATAAAGAAAAGGTGGAATAGATCACTGGCAGCGTATAATTCTTTGATTCTTTGGAGTCTTCCTAGAAACTTTGAAAAAGCCAGCAAGGAATGAAATGTAAGAATTTGCTAGAAACGAAGTACAACTTTTTAGTTCTGGTTTTATGTTTTTTAATACAGTAAAACTACACACTACCAATTTAGTATGTATCAAAATTAATAAAAAAATAGTCTGTATTAGGAGTGCTAAACCACTCTGAGGACTACTAGGGCAATACACATGCATATATCAAACTTCTGGATTCCTGAAAAACATACTGTAGAAAATACAATATTTTCTATTAGATTCCAATGAATATTTCTATAATGATATCTGAAACCTCTTCTTTGAGGTTTTATTGTTCTTTTTGTGTTGCATTCAATTTTGCTTTGTCCTTCTCAAAAACCTCCTGTACCACATGTATGCTCAATATTTGTAAATCTAATACAGTATTTACATGATAAAATTATTTAACTTACCTTCAATCCAATTTTTGCCAGATTATCCGAGATATATGCTCTCTTCCAAGTAGGTATTTTATCTCCTTTGCATACTAAGTACATGCTATATTGCACTACATAATTTTATACAGAATTCCATTTCACTTTTTACAGAGAAGTTCAGGTTTGAAAAAGTAGCTCAACAACAGCAATAAATTTTTAACATATACATTTTCCAAGTTCAGTATTAGAGAAATGATAGAATGGTAGGGTTTATATTTTACCTAAAATCTGAGCCTATCCGTTTTCCATTTTCTGGTTCTCCAGGATCTGGACACAAATTGGATGCCTGTTTAATTCCTTCCTCATTTACTGCAAAAAAAAAAAACAAAAAACAAACAAACAAAAAAAAAAGATAAAATAATACAGAAATACTGAGTTAAGCAATTAACAAATATTAAAAGTACATTATCTGCATTTCAGGTCCTTTAAAACAGATTTTCCACAGAATATGATCCCCCATATAATCTCTAGTTTCAATACATAAGTTTCTCCTCCCTATAATAAGCAAAGCATGTATTTTCTGGTTTGTTTTTTTGTTTTGGTTTGGTTTTTTTCTTCAAAAAATAGCACAAGTTTTTTATAAGTTGTAGTAATCACCTATTTTTTTTGCTTGTAATATTATTGAACCCATATGGAAATGTTATTACTATTCCTTTACAAACATTAACATTTAAAGGAGTGTTCATCAAGTTTAGGGCTGTAAGATTTTACTCTGAACATAATCTAATAAATGTCATCTCCACTAAGAGCTGACCTTTTCTCCTTGCTTTATAATAAAACTTGAATGCATAGGCTCATGCTGAGAGAATTGTCCTTAGTCAGTGTTGAAAATGCAGATATCCCCAAAATATGGTGATCTGAAGGTAAACTCAAAATGCCAGTTTGATTTGCATACATTTCTTACAATAAACTAAAATGGATCTTCAGAGAGAAACTTCCTGTGAACCTTTCAGTGTGTTTTTCCAGAAATTTTTATGTAGCGATCTAGCCCTCAGCATATTCAACTACCTCTTCACTTGTTTTTTTTCAATGCATTATATACTTTCTCGTATTTTTTACAGCTTGCAAAAGTATATCTTACAAAAATAATTTTTGGCCAAAATAATTCTATTAATTTTGTATTTAATTTTTGAAGTTCATTGAACCAGGAGGTAGCAGTTCCCAAAAAAAATATTAGCAAAGGAGGTTGGTCTGCTATTACTTGGTAAATTCATGGCCCGATAGAAGAATATTTTTTTCAAAAATACAAGTTGACATGAAACTAAGAGATTAATACTAAGCAGAAAGAGATTTTCACCTTTATTCATCTTTATTTCTGAGGAACTAGAAAAATGGATTTGCAGTATTAGATTTCAACTTTCCTTCAAAGAAAGTTTGCATACAATCACCTTACGTAGTAAATTGAATGTACCTGAATAAAAAAATGTAGTTTCCAACTATACTTCTAAAGGATGTTCATTAAATTTCAGCTTTTAATGAAGGACAATAACATTCAGAATACTTGGGGGTTTTCCCTTCCTTTAAATTTGTCTTCTTACACACACAGAAAGGGAAGAATTGGTTTGGTACCCCTGAGGAAGTCAAAGGCCAAATTAAAATGTTGCAGAGGGTTAAAAGGAAAACATCTCAGGTTAGCATGCTGCTCAAAAAACCTATCAAGTTCAGCCCTTGTCAACTGGAACCACAGTATTTATCCTCTTCTGCCCTGAAAGAGCTGTACCATGTCCAAAGTTGTTCTAAAAGCAAACAAAGGCAATCTCTGTTCATTTGCTTCTCTATGCTCAGGGGACTTTTGGGCCAGGAGGGCTCTTCCTTAGAGCCCATCCATATTACCAGGGTTCAGTCTTTTCCTCCCCCAGTACTTGTAGGTGTGATGAAAGCATATTAGCTATAGAAACCCAAGTTCATGCTAGTGTTGTAATATATATATCTCTGACAATTACAATTTCATAAACTGCATTTCACAAGTCCATCTAGAAGGAACTTGTTGGATGATCATTTAGAATAAACTCTCTCTTTGAAATATGTAAGTGCTTTTATATAGTTCCAAAGCCTGTATCAAGATGTGAGAAAATCAGAATCATCATAAGTAGTCCGTATATATAGAAAAGACTTTAAAACTTTGGGTAGACAGGATTCACTGAGCAATGCAGGAAGGCAAAGGAAGTATACTTGAGGAGGAGTAGGGAAAAAGACACCTTCTCATTTTTGTGACAGTCTGTTAAATTTTCTGACATTTAACATATGTTAAAACTATAGCTAGAAACTTATTCATGATGCCTGATAATAATATTAAAGAAATTAAAATAAAATTGTGCCATTTTGGGGCTGTACCATATATCTATGCACACAGAAGAAATTCTTTACTATAAATAAAATAAAAATATTATTTCAACAGAACTATTTCTATTTATTGTAATTCATGTCTTAATATTTAAAATAATTATTTTTATACACTAAATTTCCCCATACACAGGCAATAGAGTGAATATTCATATAAAAAAGAATATTCTACTGGATTTCAAAGTACAAGAACTATTATATACTTCAATTTCTAACAAAAATGGAAGCTTGAAAATCCTATTGTTTTTGGTATCTTCTGTATAAAGTTCCATTCTTAAAAATACTCTATGAAATGGATTTTTAAACAATAAATTATGGATTTATTAATATTCATAAATAAAATATAAAGGCTTATGTTAAAGAAAATCAATAAAATAATTACAGTGACAAAGTTAAAGACATATACCACAGTAAAAAATAAGAAGAAAAGGTTATAAATAGAAGTCATTAAACTGGTTTTTTATTTGATCCCAAATCAGAAATGCATTTAAGCACAAATTTAAATCCATTCTTATTTCTGTTAAGTATTTTGAGAAAAATAAATACACTTTATTTTTGTATTGACGTTACTTTTCCAGACATAATGCTTGATTTTTCAGTCTACTGAAATACAGCTCTATATAGTTCCTCAGATCATCTATCTATCTATCTATCTATCTATCTATCTATCTTTGTTTGTTTGTTTTACACCTGAGAGAGTCATGACAATAAGCAATGAAAGGGTTTCCTGTAGTAAATTTAAAGGCTCCTCTATGGAAAGCATTCATTCATGGTCTGGTCATGAAACTGGGAGCAAGAAATTCCAGAGTTCTAATCCAGATTGAAATAGGTCCCCCAATGATTTTTTCTGTTAATCTCAACACTTGCAAAATGAAGTTGATGCATACTTGTTTCAAAGTAAAGTATATCATATCAAATATCATTCTGGCTTTACTATGTGCAAATCCCCTATGCATTAGCATTGAATGTTATATACCTGGATACATTAAAAAAAAGTAAAATAGGGAAAAGAGATACACATGAGAAATGTTAGATGATAATTTCTAAAGACATTGCTAATAGAAGGCATAATATAAAATAGGTATTCACTTATCCTTATCTTATTTTCACTAACAGTTGAATGATGGTCATCCTTTTTTTTTAAAGGACCCTATCTGTCATTGTAATGCAAGTACAGATCCAGCTGAGGCCACATTAACTAAAGTCAACAGCTAAAGTTATGTTTAGGCCTTTCGTGAAATACTGCCTCTTCAATTTCGTCAGCTACCAAAGCAACTAGCTAACCAAATGCCAGATTACAATATAAAATCTTAGTTATCTATTTATGACAAGGTTATGATCACTAAAGGTACCAATCATCAAGGTTTTCACCTTCACTTATTATTGATTCATATAGGTAATCTACTCTGCATAACCAATAAAGCAAGATACAGAAGTTTTCAGCTTTACATAGAAAATCATAACATATGAAATTATATAAAGACTTTCAAAAATATATTGATAAATTTCATCACTAATTTCATAACAATCACCTTTAGTTATCACAAGTGTCTGGTACTTCACTATAAATATGCAATTCCTATTAATGTTTATATAGTGGAATATTTAATGGTTTGGGCAAAATAAATTTATAGGGAAACAATCTATTTTATCAGCCATTCTACTATTCTCATTTGTATCTATAAAAGCACAGATGGACCATCAGACAAAGTCCTCAGTGATGTACCTTATAAACACTACTGTAATTATCTTGCTGTTATTTCTTATTGTATAATCACTCTACTTTCCAGTCACCCAATATGCGTAAAAAGAATACTTGTTTTTATAGATCTTGATACAAAGTTTTCAAATAAACCAGAAATGCCTTACAGAACTATTTAGGTGATGTAGTTTACAGAAAAGTTGCATATCACCATATGCTACATTATAAAAACTGAACAGAAGTGTGTTTTGCTTTATTTTTCCTACTTGGTAAATGTTAAAGGGTCTTGCTGCTTGAAGACACCTTTTTATAAAAAAATCATGTCTAATATGTTGACAGTTTAAAATCTAAAACTGAAAAATGCATTAAAACTTACGCCAATGTGCCCTGCAAAATCCTGGAAACTGAATCCATCACTGACACTTTAAACAAAAAATTAGTGCAAATGTGTCCAACCTAAGGAGCTTTGAAAGCAAGTCCTTTCACTCTTGTGAAGAATAATAAAATGTAGTATAAGCAGACATAGGCTAAGCAGTTAGTCCATCTTTATTTTAACCGATTACTTCTAAATATTTTAAATGCGGTTCTAGTCCAAAACGGAACTCTACAAAAATGGCATGTTCTTTTGCAAGAGATATCCTCTTTAATGTATTTAGAGTCATACCTGTTTAATTTGTGTTAGAAAGTTGCCTGACTCCTCCTTATGAGTTAATCAGGACTCGGTCCTGTAAGATGCCGAGCACTTTCAGTTTCTATTTTCTGTTATTAAAATTGAAGGCACTAAGCACCTCCAGAATTTTTAAACTACAGTTAGTTAATCACTTCAAAATATCAAAGTTAATGAAAAAAAAAACAAACCTTCAGAAAGTGACCTCATGTATGTTGCTTGAGAAAAAATGTGGTTGCACATTTGTAAATGAAGATAGGCTGTTGTTTGTATAGCCTTTTGCTGCTAGTACTAATTTTCAATTAAAATAACGTATCTCCTGTTCACAGCTAAGATTTCAGTTGACACCTGGGAGGCTGAATATTTATTTCTTTGTAAATACTGCAAATTTAATGTGAAATTACTGACAAAATAACATGTCATTCTACAATGCCACATTTATAGAAAGCCTGCCTTTAGACTAGAACCATATTTAAAAATTCACCATGCAGACTGGAGAAACAGATTTGTCAGTTATTTCATCAGAAATACATAAACAATTTTGAGAACACACAAACAACACAGACAGCACAAACTTCACTCTTGCACTAGAAAAAAGTAACAAAAAAGGAGTACACTCACAGATAGAAAACTTGTTGCTGTTGTCTTTCCCTGGAAACAATTTAAATCCTCTAGACTTAAAATCTATGGCCTTTTTCACTAGTTAAAAAAACAAACAAAAACACGTATCAGGCAATACAGTCTAAAATATTTCATTTAATTTGACAAATTTTATCATGGAAGTATATACAAATTAGAGTACCAGATACCTAACAAGCTCATATTGTGTACCTTTGGTGGAAAACAATTTACAAAAACAAGTATTGAGACTAATTTGTGCACCTGACAAAGGAAAGAAATAAGATTTGTAACTTATTTTTTCTCCCGCATAACCAAGAAAAAAATTATGGCCAAAAGTGTTTATTTCCATGCACCATATAGTTGTGTAAAACATTGTCACACATTTATGGAACCTGGAAAACGAAAATAATAGATACGTTTGCTCTAAAACAGTTGAACAGTTGAATCTTATCTGATGTTTCTTCTATATTAAGAAACAGTAGAACAGTAGTGCTTATACCCCAACACTCCCCCCCATCAAAAAAAAAAAACGAAAAAAGTACAGAATACTACCATATCTGCCAACTGAAAAGTCAGCAACCTTTTTAAAAAAGATACTATGTCATTTTTTAAACAGGTGATTTTTTGTGAAATTTTAATTCAATTATTCTTCCCAGTGATAGAGAATTTAAAAGGAAAAAAGAGTTGTCCACAACATGTTATTAAAAGCACACTGAAATCCAATATATATGCTCAGATCTGAATTCCATAAGCATCCAAGCAATACAGGACATATATTAACCCACATACATTCTGTAAAGGTTTAATCAGCAGTAGAAATGCCAACATATTTTTTGTCAGCATATTTTGCCTGTTACTTCAGATTTTAAAATTTACATTAAAAGTCAGTATTACAGTTGGGAAAAAGACAAAACAAAGGCAACAGCTAAAAAATCACAATGTTTTAGTAGACAAAAAGTCCTTCTATAAGTAACACATTGGAATACATTCTCAAGATCTATAGGCACCCAGATTACCTCCCCGTTCTGAAAGTACCTCCACTAGTTGTTTTCAAAATTTATCTTAGCTATGTTCCTAGCTTTAGTACAGAAGAATAATTTTTATTCCAGAAACACTAAGATTTTATTATCTGTGTTTAGATTACACAGACAAAACAGAAATATTTTGATCATAGAAAAAAGAGATTGCACTATTAAATTAAGCATACCAGGCTAATTTTCTTCTTTAACTACAGAGAACTGGATACAAAAAAATTAAATACAGTCTACTGTTCTGCTCTTGGTTCTGCAGCTGGTCCTCTTTCTAGCTTGAAAATTGTTATTTGTAAAGTGTGATATGGAAGGTAGTTGGCTCCCACCTCATCCCTAAGCCTACTGCTGAACTATTGCTGTAAAAGTCCTTATTTTGGGCTGGCTTTGTGATAAAAGCAGTTAATCCAGGCAAACCATGTGGCCTCAACATATTTTTGAAACAAAACTAATAAAAAAAGAGTAAAAACAGAACTTAACAGATATCAAAAGGTAAGAGAGAATAAAGCAAAAACAGCACAAGATTTTTTTTCTTTCAGTCATTAAACTAAGTGCCTCTTTTCTCCAATACACTCTGCCAATGAGCAATGAACCATACATAAAAATGGACTTAAAAAATTTAAATTTTAGCTATAGGTTAAATTTAGGTACATTATACTCAAGTGACTTTATAGATCATATATATTTAAAAACTATATGGAAGAAGGTGTTGCATGTTGGCTACAAGCAAATACTGCTGATTAACACAGAGGAGATTAAAGGAACTAGGTCTAAGAGAAGCTAACCCGAGAAGATAGACGGTACACCATCAAAGAATTTTTCAGCATCTGTTAACTTCTTAGGCAAAATCAACAAATAGTCAAAGAAACCCTTAAATGAGGCATAAATACCAAAGTAGCAAAATGTCATTGATGTTATTAAATAAAAGTAATCATTACCATGCACAAGAGCAGAACAAGATTCAGGAGAAAATCGCATACTACTAAGACAATTGATAGGATAGACATAGGACATAATGATAAATATTTTTACACTTCTGATGGAAGAGACCATACTTTCTTCTAAATATATAGAGGCTTTTATCTCAAGAGGCAAAATGTAAATTTCCTTGTGTATCATCATAATGTAACCTATACACACTGTTAATGGTTCTGGGAAATACATTATTTGCAGGAGCATGACATATCTGTTGCCACAAAATACTGTATTTTTAAATTTTGTTTTTAATTCTTAACACAAGAAGCTTCCCCCCCCACCCCACCAAATTAATTTAAATCCATTAGCAATTCTATCCTCTGTGGAAGTCATGGACCCAAGAAGTGTACCTTCACACAGTAGAGGCATACTGGAATAACAGTAATGCTCTCTCATCATTGTGTGAGATTTCTAAAATGCTATTCCTACATAAATATGAATGTAGGAGTATAGCTGTAAGCTTCTTTTGGCCTTCTCTGAGCATCAGTGTAAAATAACTCCTCATGAATCAGAAGATAGGCCTAGCTATTCTTCCAACACCTAAGTAAAATGGGAGTGGGCTTGAATACATGATCTCAGGTGCTGGGATGGGTTTAAATACTCGTATTAGGGAGATGTTTGTCCTTTATTTTCAGAAATCATCATAGTAACACATTAAACAACGAAGACTGGTTTGGGGTTTTTGTTTATTTCTACTCATCCTCAAACACCTGACTGGCATATCCATAATTTTTGTACACAAGAAACAGAGTTCACAAGATCTAAGGTGGAACTGAAAATAGTTACAAGAGTGTCTTCATGAACACACGATTTAAAACAGAGATTTTTATAACTATTTGCATCACTTTGCCAAGGCTATTAAATACTACTAGGAAAGCAAGCAACTCAAGATCTCTGAAGCATCTTTACACTACAAGAGAAGAATTTTACTTTTAACTGGGTTTTGTATGTTGATTTATTGAACAGTAGTTTCTGAATACACCGTGAAGGAGTAGTTACAGAAATGTATTTGGTCCAAACATGCCATCACTAAACTACGTATCAGGCTGCATATGCATGTACACACATAAAAACAACCCCACCATCTCCAAAAAATCCCATACCCAAAACACAATAAATACATTCTTTAATACTTGGTAAACTAGGCATTATTTTGCACATCCCAATATGGAAACCAGTGAGGAAAATGGTAACTGTTCAAAAACAGTTTTAGCATCCTGAGAGCTACACAAGATGTAAATTTCAAGATGGAAAATTTGCTTCTACAATATGGAAGCATCAGGGTATATAGCCATGTGAAGGATATCTATTTAAAACACTGACAACCCACAAATTCATGTCTTTATTTTAGTTATGCAACAGCATTTATGTAAAGAATTTGTCCAGCTTGTCTATGTTTTGTAAAGTTTTAAACCAAGTATAAAGTACATTTAAAATGCTGACAACTAAAACACCACCATTCTACGCAAAACAGGCACTCAGGTTGCTTTACTACAACTATATAGAGTATTAACCATGGAAACTTGGGCCTCTTCTGACCTTACATACTTCTTTCCTTGAGTGTAGCTCAAAGCAGTTCAAACACTGAAACAGCCCCTCCCCTCTCCTGAGCCTTTCTTACATTATATTCACTACCACTCAGCTAATGGAGATGGAGAACAATATCATAATGTCAAAGCCATTATTTAAATATTGCACGTACAGCCCTCCTTAAATGACATCTGCAGAAATAAAATATTATGTGAAGAAATGCAGTAGACTGCTTATTTGACTGTACCTAAATATTTGTATTGCATATACATAAATGCCCATATAACATGTTTTAGAAAATATGTAATATCTCTGGAAATAAAGGAAAGGTTTTGTGCCTCCTCACAGTCTCTGTATTCTTCTGTTTCTCATCTTCAACATTTATTTAAAGTCAACTGCAAAGGAATCTGCTTGATAATGTCTGAAACAAAAATAACTGTTAAAACAAATTAGCCTATGAAAGTCTTTGAGCCTATATTGTCTCAAGATTTTTTCCCCCTTTTTTTCACAAGACAGAGAGAGAAAAGTTAATCTTTCCTTTGAATTTGTATTCTCAAAATTCTTCCCACCACACTACTATTATTTAGAAAACAGAAATCAATATCCAGAAATCAATACCATTTGTTTGCTTTGCATTGGGTCCAGATGTTAGGGAACACAAGCTGACATTAAAAACACTTGTAGATTCAGAATTACATGATCTTCTGCAGTAAGTATATTTGCTGGATTTATGTTCTCCTAAAAATAATGAGTAATTAACTCATTAACTGCTTTCTGATGAGACAGAAGACATTTGTTTGGAATACAGCATAGAACTGATTCTGACTAGTGCAGAACCAGTAATTCACTGATTGTTCAAGAACTTCAATATCTGACAATGGCAGATTTTACTTGCAGCAGCTGCTATTTCTAATGACAGAAACAGGAGTCTGATATACTCTGGACTTCCGACATTCGGTGCTCATATGTAGATATGCCAAATAAATCGTGCATGATACTTCCACCTCATCTTGGGCATAGGTCTAATTCATTGTATTTCCTCTAGAAGTTGATCTACATGCACAGCACATCCACAGCCTGAATACATTGAACTTACTACTCATGTACAGGTCAGTTCCATTTTTTTTGCGTACATTTCATGTTCACTACACATGTGATGCAACTAGTTATCCAGAATTTCCAAACTCTGACAACACAAGTGCTAGATATCCAGGTATCTTAGGGATCACCACTTCAAGGGATTGCACAAACTCGGGGAGGGGGGCGGGGAAGATTTAGCAACCTATGTAGTTTTTAGGTCATGACGCTTTAGGCTCCAGAAATTTACATTAAAAATCTCTAAACCTAGTGATTACCCAAATAAACTTCACTGTGACCCAACACACTGACTGATGTAGCATCATCTTCTAGAGCCTTTCTGCACCTTGAAAGTTGGCATTAGAGGACATGAATTTTCATCAGTTTTTGTAGTACAGCATCAACTGCATAGGTTAATGATTTCATAAATATGAAGAACCATTCAGAAGACGAACAATCAGACTATAA